TGTTTATCCTGAGCTGAAGACTGACCAAGGTATGTTTGTTTGTTTGTTTGTTTGTTTGTTTAATTTTACGCCTTTCTCAACAGTATTTCAGTCATATAGGCGGGTAGTTTCCTAACCATCGTTCCTGGAGAGTTACACCAGTACTAGACTACCTTCCTCCGCGCTAAACTACCAAAGCATCTCCCGGGGATCGAACCCACGCCAGAGAGGTAACTGGATTAGAAGTCATCGACTCTAACCCCTCGACCACGGAGGCGGTTGACCAAGGTATGTAAAACAAGAACTGTCACGGTAAGTTGACAATGCCCCCAAAGTGGTGCTTTGTCCTTTGATTTATGGACCAGATAGATTATTTGTTTTTGGACAATTAGATCTTCAATGTGAAGGTCATTCAAGGTCAAGGTGAAATAAATATAGGTCAGTTGGAAGGTCTTGTCCAAAGAGGCATTGTGTCCAAATATGAATTAATTCCACTTACTAATAAAGAAGTTATGACCAATGTTAAAGTTTTTGGATGTTCTAGGTCATTCAGGGTACGAGGTAAAAGAAATCAGTTTGAAGGTCTTGCCTAAAGGGGTGTTGTGTCAAAATATGAGTAGAATCCGTGTACTAATAAGGAAGTTATGACCAATTTTTAAGTTTTTGGACAATTTGACTTTCAAGGTGAAGGTCATTCAGGGGTCAAGGTCAAAAGAATATAGGATAGTTGGAAGGCCTTGTCCAAATAGGTGTTGTGCATAACATTATGCCAGGACATTATGGCCAATCTTAAATGTTTTTGGACAATTTGACCTTCAAGGTAAAGGCCATTCAGGGGTCAAGGTAAAAAAATACAGGTCCGTAGGAAGGTCTTGTGCTAAGTGATGTTGTGTTCAAATATGAATCAAATCCGTTTACTAATAAGGAAGTTATGGCCAATGTTAAAGATTTCGGACGGATTGACGGACTGACAGACGGACAGTTCAAAACTAATATGCCTCCCTTTGTGGTATGCACAACGTCTTGCAAAGAAATGCAGCTGTGCAACAACGTTTTAATTGCATTGGTAGATTGAAAATTATATTTTCACCATCTGAATTACATATTAAAACCATACACGCACTGCGCTTGTCTTGCTCACAACGAGTTTATGGTGCTCACAACGAGGATTAAAGCAAAAGTTTCTATGAAGACTTTCAGATAATAATTTACGATGAAGACTTGTGGGCATCTGTTTTAGGTTAGGTTAGAATGCACAAAACGTCACCAATATTGACGTTTTCAATGTTAAAATAGGTCCAAAGAGAAGTTGTCTCCATTTTTCCTGCTACCCCGAATGATTGCGTCGCACGGTATTTCCATCAAATTGTCCACCAACAGGCAGTATCTTTACATGTGCATACTCGGAAAACACTTCGCTAGCTAACTGCATTCCGATATTTTTACATAAATGTCTGTAATCTTCAAAAATTATGAAAAACTCACCTTGTTTATCGTGTCACACGTCATAGATGGGTGCTCACAACGAGGAACGGAAGTTGCTCACAACATTTTTACCGATGGACATTTTTCACTCGTTGTGAGTTAAACGGGCGTGATTAAGGTACAACGGCGAACCTCAAAAAAAATCTGCATGAGACAAATGTGCTTTCTTGTCCCTTAAAAATCATGAGACAAATGTGCTTTCTTGTCCCTTAAAAAACTTGATCGGAGCACATTTGTCACACAAATGAGTTTTTTGGGGTAGACATTTGAGGTCCCATTTGTCTTACGTGGGACAAATGCGACCGCATCGGTGTTACGTAAGACAAATGTGCTCCGAGACAGATCTGCTCCTACAGTGCAGCCCTTAAGCCAGGGCCTGAATCCGCCACTGTATAACTGCCCCCACGAATATATTTTTTCTATTAGACTGTATACATATATAAAACTATATTGCATAACCTTTTTCTACTTATATTTATATTCTTTCCTGGACAATTTATATATTTAGTGTTTGGTACGTATTTATATATACGCAAAAGAATACCGTTGTATGATCTCCGGAAAATTCCGATGATAGGCGAAATGTGGAAAAATCCCGTTGATCTCGATAACAGAGTTCTCGCCCCTTAACAGTTCACAATCGCTAGACATTGTATATATTGTAAGATGATCACCCAGCTTTATTTAGCATAAACGCTGAATAATGGAAATAAGCAAAAGCTAAATGTAATTACGCCATGCAAGCGATTAATCATATAAGCCACACTTTAACAAAATCGTGTAATTTTAGATGTACGAAAGGAAGTAGGATTTGAAAATAGTCAATTTTAAATGACTTCTACATAACAGTAAAACAAATAAGAACTAAACCGTAAATAGTTTGTATAGAGCATGAAGAAGGTATATGACGTTAACATTTTAATATTCCAAAACAGTACGATAAATGGCTTGTGTAAGTTTAATAGTTATCACTCAATGAAAGAATTAGTCACTACAAAGTTTGAATGAAATAATGAAAAATGGAATGCAGCATAATGCAAAGTTTAAATATCATAAAGCAAGATGGAGTCAAGCATAATGTAAGTTCCAATGTCATCAAGCAAGATGGAATCAAGCATAATGCAAGTTCCAATGTCATCAAGCAAGATGGAATCAAGCATAATGCAAGTTCCGATGTCATCAAACAAGATGGAATCAAGCATAATGCCAGTTCTAATGTCATCAAGCAAGATAGAATAAATGCATTAATTCTGTTCCATATTTTGAAAGTGATTTTTTTCTTTTTTTCAAACCTTTTAAATATCAAGAATAGTCTTAATAACTTCATAATGTCACGTTTTTATCATATTTAGAACATTTCTACAACTGTAAAATTTCAGTCTGCCAGGTCGGTACAGAAAAAAAACACTGTCTAAACGTGTTTTCTTTTCTTTTATGTAACTTTTAAATGGTAAGATATGTCTTAAAATATTAATTAAAAGTCGTTTTAATTTCTTTGCCAAACTTGTATTATTTTTAAAGTTCATTCTGTTGGGCCGCTAGACCGCCAATTTCAGGCCGTTGGGCCGCCAGGCCATCAACTTCAGGCCGTTGTGCCGCCAACTTCACGGCGCAAGGCCGCCAACTACACGCAGCCAGGCCGCAAGGCCGCCAACTTTACACATCTTTTTTAAATTTATGTCATTACACCCATTAATTATTCTTACAACAGCGAATGAAATTACAATTTCATCCATAACGGCGAATTTACGTCATACTAAGCATGCCATTGTATAGCAGAACAGAACAGATTATTTTTGACTTGAACAATTATACATCGTCATACATATATAAACAGTTTTACAAACATACTAACATAAATCACAAGATCAGATTTAAACATGTCCCTTTCATATCAATTTAGAGGATGAATTATTAATATATTAAGTTGTATCTACTATATCCAAGGCATTTGCATGCGACTCATCTTGCACCCCTAATGCCAGTAGAAATTTCATAAGTTTTAAACATTTTTGCGACGGACGCGCCCTCAGGCGCGTTCAGAGCTAAGTCATCTACACATGGGATTTCGTTGGCTACACTCGCGCAATGTGTCCTAAACCAATTAACAGCCCAAGAAATAGTACATGAATTTGATCCTTCAAAACTCCCATACTTTGTCTGGATATCTTAATGTCTTCCATATTTAGCCTTTTCAATTTCAAATTAAGTTATCCAAGTTAAAATATTAACGTATATTATTGATAAAAACGTTGTAGTCCCGTAGTATTATTGCGCAATATGCAAATTACTGCTGAAACGATTTACCGCTGTCGAAAAAGTAGGACAGCAAATTATACTACAATTAAGTGTAACCTCTGAGTTCCAAGACATTATTTGTAGGAAATAAATATTTCTACATTATACAAAACATTATTATTAACAAATCAAAAGTTTTTCGTGACTCTAGGATAACTCGCGCATTAATAAAAGAAGAACTATTTTCGTGACTCATACCGCGGGTTTAGCTGAATATTCAGCAGTTATTAATATATTAGATACAGTTCAATGGCTAGTATAAATATCTATTTTTGAAAATGCATGTAAGACACTTTACCGCCATGTCGTCTTGAAATCATGGTAAGGAAGTTATAATATCAGTTCTACTTCCGATTCTTGTGGTTTGTTTACATATTTTACTAGGTCATGATATGAGTTAACCTTCGATATTCTAAAAATAGATTCTGCTTTACCTGTTCTGATTTTTGGACAGGCGATTAGGAAGTACAACCAGCGGATTGTAATGCAATAGTTTTAGAAATGCTATACAATTGTAAGAAGCAAACAAGTTGAAAATGGAATTTAGTGTGAAGTTGAAAAGGACAACTAAACACTGTAGTGCTTAAGTGACATTTAAATTAAAATAAAAACGATGTGCTCTGGCGTCTACATCTTTACCTTGTAAATAAAAAAATCTAAGAAATACACTATTAATTGCTGATGATTTTAACCAATTTTTTTTTAATGAGACATATCCAAGAGAAATAAAAATACAAATGACTTATATTTTATTGTCTGTATGCCCACTATGATATAACACGAAGCAATTCTAAATAGCATTCTCAAATGTACAATGTATTATGTTTGAAGTTTATTTGCCTGGATTTATTCTAGAAATATTTCGTTGATAGTTTTTTTTTCTATTTACATATCATTTCTTAGAATAAATCGATAAGGACACTGATTTACAAGTTTGACCAGAGTTTTTAGGCATAAATTTCATTCTGTATTTAAGTGCTTGAAAGTAGAAAATCTGAATTATATCAATTTGGGACACAAAATATATTGCTCTACAAATCTCGAACTTGTATGGAACAAATTTTCTCTGTTATATATTTTGTGTTTTGTTTTTATTTTGTTTTGTTTTTCTAAAAGAAGCCTTGGTGTCTCTCCGGTTGCATGTCCGTCGCATTCAGTGCTGCAGCACTTTGATTATCTTTATGGTACATGTATATGTCTTGTGCAAGTAGAAGTAAGTAGAATATATAATAACTTACTTGGATATCCTAAGTTTTTCAAAATGAATCTTACATCTTTATCGGTTGGGTACATGTTTGCTAATCTTAATGCTTTGGTTAACCTAAATGTATGTAGCATTCCGTATTGTCCCTTGTCACACAGATTAAATGCCTCCTTTATGTCCGTTAAAAGCTGAAATTTCGTTAACTAGGTTATATAAAGAGTTTAAAGAGAACAAAGAAAAAGCTAAATAGTATACATACATGTATATGAATATAATTATATACGTTCTAGGTTTACATTTATACTTTCAAATGTTAAAAGCGAATCATCACTAACTGCAGAATGTAATGGCGTGCACAAGTTAATAACATTTCAACAAAACGATGGTGTACAAAATACACGATGAATATGCATGTATAGTTGTGTCATTATCCTAAAGAACAAAGCCAATTACAATGAACTTTTACGATAATATTAATTTCTTTGATTTTCTTTTAAATGTGTTGCTTACATTTAATCTTAAGTATTTCTGTACTAAAATTAAAAAAGAAAACCTTTTGTTCAGCGTCCATTGCAACCTTTGTTTCTTGAAGCAGTGTATTAATCTCTAGAACGGGAAATAAAAAAGTAAATGAGAACAAACATACATATATATACAAATATTAAATTTCTTACTATACAGAGTAACGCCCACTGCACTGACGTTTCATCACCACCATATATTCTCACCACTATATATTCTATATTGCATCAATGCTTTTCTTGTATACAATTCTGGTAAAATCTAATTAACCATAAGAAGATATCTTGTCATCAGATGTCTACTAGTTCATCGTCACTTGCTGCATTTCTTGCTTGGACGCCCTTTGATGCTTTGCATCAATGCTTTCCTTGTTGTAGTTTGTAATTGCTTAGTAAATGTTGAAATAGAAATAAGCTATAATTATATTGTAAAAGCTGAAATCTTTCGTCATCAAATAACATGTTACGGTAAGTTTTAAAGTAATATCTCTTATTGAATTGATATAGTTATAAGTGTTATTTATTGATGTAAATTCGTTCCTGAAACATAAATCTTTCCCCGTTAATTTCGAAGTTATTTTGGAGATCTAGTCATTTCGTTCTCAAGGCATTTTGACCCCTGACTAATCTCTATATTTTGACTGCAAGACAGACTGATTTTGCAAACTGATATAACACAGATGTCTGTCTTTATAAGGACGACTGTTGGGCTACAGATACATGTTTTACAAATAAATTATTATAGCAATTAATTGAATAAATGGATTCTATAAAGAATTAAAAAGTAAATTTAGCACTCAATACTATTCCAAAGAGCCTCCCCATACATAAATGTCCATGACTTTGCAAAGCATCACCTGTTTAGTTTAGCCCCTGCAAATAATGCATATTAAAAGACCTCTGTCTTAGACATTCATTAGATGGCATTGTAGGAGCACATTTGTCTCGGAGCACATTTGTCTCACGAAGTGTGACCGATGTGCTCGTAAACATTCATATTTGTGACAAATTGGAAATGGGACAGATGTGTTCGACACACAATAGAAAGGACACTCGAAGCACATTTGTCTCACATTTTAACATAAAATTCTACTTAACAGAAAACTCCTCGCATAAATACTTCGACGCCCCGATAGAGTGTCGAACCTACAGCGGTTAGGGGCAAGTGATCTTTTGAAATCACTCGGCCACGGAGGCCCCTAAATGATCTGAAGACCATCACACACGTACTTTGTTTTCATCAGAAATATATAAAATAATATAAATCGCCATTTTCCGAAAATTGATGCTTTCAGATCGCCGTTGAAAAAGCACTTACAAGGTGCATGAGTTCCTAAAAGAACAATAATTATGGATTATCGGGCCTCGCAGAAACGGGCAACACGCGATATTCTGACGAGACACGAAGCGGGGCACGATATTGTAACGCGAGATCTCGCAATGTTGACGAGTTTTCAAGGTAGAATATCATGCTTCGCTTCATTGTCGGAATTTTGCTTTTCGTGTCTTTCGATAAAATTTGTATATCTCTTTGTGTCGGCCTGGTGTATAGGAACCAGCGCAGGAACCATCTGGCCTTGTCGCGTAATGTCGGACAGGTTATTGGACACTGAATTTTCACTCTGCATGGCCATAGACGTCTAAATTTAAGCTGTCTTCTGTTTAAATTTCATCATGGATATGTTTTTTGACATTCTGGTAGAAAAAATGCGAGCATATATTGTATTTGATAAAGTGAATTTCAGTTTGAGTATTGGTGATTCATTTTCGTCACAGCCGTGTGATTTTAAAAGTGATTTTACAATTAGGAATTTTTCTTAGAAGAAACATGACTCTTACTTTTCTCATCATTTTATATACGTTTTATCATAACTCTTTAAAATGAGAAGAATTTGTTCTCTAAAATGGGATAAGCTATGTTTTGTAGCTCTTTGAAAAATGTCAGTTTTACAAAGAATATAAAGGGAAAACTATTTAGCGGTATATGGCCTCAAAGGATTTTCTTGTCTCTCGTCAACGTACGAGATGCGAAGCGAGACGGTAGATTCCTGCGAGATACGAAACAAGTCACGATATTGTATCGTTCAAATATTGCCCGGTTGTAGTGTTCCGTTTGTACACAAGTAACATTTTTTTGTCTCCCTTAACTACGATACACGATGGTACAATGGTGAAAGCGCGATGACACGATGATGAAACAACGATGGCACGATTGTGAAATCACGATGATGCGATAACACGATGGTGGAATTTCACCATCATGTCATCGCAGTTTCATCATTGTACCATTGTATTTTCGCCAATCATATCAACGTGTTTTTCATCATCGTACTATCGTGTTTTTACCATCGTACCATCCCGTTTTCATCATCGTACCATCGTGCCATAGTTCCACTGTATTATTTAGATTTAAGATTTCATAAAGAATGCATAAGCAAACCTATTGTTGATGAGTGCACTTGACATTATCATAAGGTAAAACGGCGAACCTCTAAAAAAATCTGTCGTTGGAAATAATGTTACAAATTATTGAAAAGAAATGACATGAGACAAATGTGTTTTTCTGTCCCTTAAAAAAACATGAAACAAATGTGCTTTCATGTCCCTTAAAAACTTGATCGGAGCACATTTGTCACACAAATGAGTTTTTTTGGGGTAGACATTTGAGGTCCCAGTTGTCTCATGTGGGACAAATGCGACCGCATCGGTCTTACGTAAGAAAAATGTGCTCCGAGACAAATGTGCTCCTACATGGCATGAACGGTAATATTCTTTCTGACTAAATAATGATTGCTAGTTGATTCTTCATACCTACAAATGACAAACGAGAATCATCGTCATCTCTTAGATTTGCCTATGAAACAGGTTCTACAGTAAAATAACTTCCAGCTGTGTGAAACTTTCAGTTTAATCGACAATTTCTCAATTTCTGTAACATTTCAACGCCGGGTGTACGAAGTATCCAGAATCAAAATCGCATTCAACGCGAAATACTGACGAGAAAGGGAAGACTTGTATCAAGGCATTTGGAATATTAAAGCTAGACCTAAGGACATCTTTTTTGCAAAAGAAATTTAATTCAAATCTATTCTGATTGCTTTACATGACTCGTTTTGTTTAAAATATCGGTTGAAAAAGTGTTCGCGGTAAGATGGTACATGACTCCCTTGATGAAACTTTACAGTATGTGTAATTATGCACCTGTGGGTTTCCTTGTGGATTTATTCAGTGTTTCCTTAAATAAGTAAAACATGCAGTATTCAATTCGTGTCTTGCTAACTCGAAAATTTTTTGCTTGTTTTAATTTTCTTTTAAGCATACTTTAGGATATAAAATTGAAATTTTAAATTCTTGCAGCTCAAATTTGGAAAAATCAAGATGTCAGTATTGGAAACAAGCAATATCTTTCGAAAAGATACTCGGCCGAAATAATACTGGTTAACATGCAAAGTTATGTTATTTCTAAGTTTTAATTATAAAAAAATGTTACTGTAGCAATTCTTGCATAACAGTGACATAATGAATATTTCTTCTTGTAGCTAATACCCATTTTGTAAATATTGAAGTTAAATGATAGCATATTGATATTGATGATTTTTCAAAGTAAGACAACTTCTATTCAAGATGTCCCTTTTACTTGTTTTACGTTTGACTTTATAAATTTTGTAATCATTTACACATTGACTAAAATGTTTCAGAACTATCCTCATTCCTGTACATTTTATTTTAGTACTATCCTTTACATTGCATTTTATAGTAGCAAAACTATCCCTTAAATTTTATCTTAGAGTTATCCTTAAAATTTTATTTTAGAATGGTAAGAACTATCCTTTATATTTTATTTTTGAATAGTTGGAGCTGTTCTTTACGTTTTATTTTAGAAATACCAATGAGATTTAACAATTTCAGTTTGTGATTTTAAAATGACCAATGAAAATTCTTCTGATATTCAGTTCTTCCCTGTTAATTTTACTGAATGTCAAACTGATAACAGTAGCACTTCGTCCAAAAATGTATGTCGTTTTTATGCCCTGTTACACCGTACGTTGGGGTCAAATTAACGCACTTTGGGGAACATAGATTCAAATTAAGGATACCGCAGTTCATCATATCGTTTAGAAACGTGTAACAATTAATAACGATAAGAATGGACATGCAGAACAGAGATATTCTTTAAGTTAATATATTACACCAATGCAGAGGCAGGAAGTTTTTGATTGACTGGAAGTGACATAAAAATGATATTACAGAAAATACAGAAAGCCCAGAACAATTTTTATCTCCGCCTTTTCAGACAATTACAATTTATTAAAGTGACATTATGCCCATCAAATGGTATATAGTGAGTGAACAGGTGAAAATCAAAATAAGTTTTCATTTTGCAATAATTCCTTTTAATTTAATAACTTACTTCCCATAAACAATAAATAATGCACAGATCCAAATACAATTTCTGTAAATATCTATAAGAATTTACCTATATAACGCTCAGTTTATAAAAAGAGTGGGGCAGTCTTTTTATATTTTAGGCAGATTTATAATTTTATCCTGAACATTTTCCAATATCAACTGTTGGTCAAACACCATTTTAACAGTCAATCTTTTGAAATATAAAGTCAATTCAGCTCAACTTGACTATGAAAATATGAGCATAATGTCACTTTAAGCAGACACAGTTTTCTTTGTAAGTAGAATTTATGGAAGAATGTTAGTCAAATGTGCTTCGAGTGTCCTTTCTATTGTGTGTCGAACGCATCCGTCTTAATTCCAATTTGTCGCAAATATAATTGTGTACGAGCACATCGGTCACACTTCGTGAGACAAATGTGCTCCGTTACAAGTGTGCTCCTACATAGCAGTCCTAATATAACGGTATATCTCCGCATTGTAACGGATGTTTTCATACAAATTTGATATTTTTATGAGATGATTACTCTTTCCTGAACGCCATGCCGAGTGCACCGTGAACCTAGAACGGTTCAAGTGTGTTTGCACATGAAAATCTCGTATTTGCTGTGTTCTGTATAGCAACCATAGGCACTCGGTTCCACAACCTTTTATGATTTTAGGTTTCGCAGCCGCCAT